TCGAGGATGTCTTTTAACTCCTCGTCTATACGCGACTGTATGACGGGAGACACCGGGTAATACCTCTGCTTCACAGGTTCGACTCCTGCTTTTACCCTAATCCGATGCTCATCAAGGTGGGTTCGACCTAACCCTTCTGGCATAGCCCTGAACGCCCGGGCAACTAATTCTTCTAAAGCACTAGCCTCTTTATTGCCTAACTCGGAGTGATCGACTATCGCCGCCAAACAGTCCTGTTCCGGCCGAGAAAAGCTCCACCTCATTTTCATCAAATCCGGGATAATACCCGCCTTGGTCCAAAAATCGACCCCAAGGATAACGCTCTGAGGCAAGCCAGGAACTATGAGGCACTCAACGAGGACTGACTTGCCCTCTACCTCAATTGGCAGCGAAACCGAACCTAACACCGATACATGGCCTCCATCCGCAAGGGTAGCTTTCAAGGGAATATTCGATGAAGACCCCCTAACGCCCCAAGATGAGAAAACTTCCCAACCTAACCGACCAATTACCGTTCTCGACGCACCAGAATCCAACAACGCCCTAAAAGTGTAACCAAAAATCCTCACATCCAAATACGGACGCTTATCGAAGCCGTCCGAGACAAGCGAATACGCCAACCGAATATCTGAACCACCGAACCCTACTTTAGCCAGCTGGGAGTTAGCAGGATTACTAACTCGCCCTACAAGACCACCTGACTTGCTGTCCCAGGGGTCTACCTCCCGTTTCCCGACTTATTTTCCGACCTAACATTCGACTTCGAATTCGCCCAACTATTCGACTTCGACTCCGACCTAAACGGGTTTTGGTTCCGCCGACCACCTCCACCCGGACTACGCTGGGTACCCTGGGCGACATTCCGCTTCGCTGCACACACCGGGCAGTCCCGCTTCATGGCCCCAGGCCTACCACAGCCGAAGCACTTTATCCCCTTTCTACAATCAGCTGAAACATGACCAAACCGCTTGTAATTAAAACAACGGGTATTAGGCCCCGCCCTAAACCCTTCGTGGTCCGTTGAATCTGCCACCGCTGCGACCTCCGAGCCCACCGAGGCATAAGCCAAGTCAGGCTCCAACAGACCCTTGGCCTTGTGACTTGGTGGAGAGACAAAAGCTTCAACCGACGACCTAACCGACTCAAATTTTCTACCCAAGGCGACTAGTTCCGCAACCGATCCTGGCGAAACTAGTCCCAGCTGCGTTTGGTAAAAGGGTAGTAGATTTGCCCTAATTATCCCTAGCATCCTACTCTCCGACAGGGGCTCCTGTAACCGACCGAACATAATTTTCATCGCTGCTACGTAGACTCCGATGGACTCATTCGCTCCCTGAGTCCGCCGCCGTATCCCGTCCATCAGCAAGTCATCGTAGTTGGAGGGCAGAAACTCCAACTTCAACTCCCTAACCAGTTCCTCCCAACTACTTAGCGAGCGCCTAACTGACCTAAACCATAGAAGTGCCTTCCCCGAAAATAAATCAACCGCGCCTCGAAAAACTTGAGCAAGGGCCACACCGCGGGCTTCACTCAACTCCTCTACCCTTTCCAGAAAAACGTGCACCGAAAGACCCGACTTCTCCCCATCGAAACGCACGTCCCACTTTGAAAGATTCTCCGGCTTCACGCTCCCGACCCGTTCAGCCGACCCGCACGCCCGCTCTTCGGCCACCTCGCCTGGTGCCGCTGCCGATCGTACCGCCGAATCTCGTTCTCGGTCACTCATCCGCTCCGGCTCGTCCTCCTCGCCAACTGCCTCCTGCAAGTCAGCCAAGCAAAGCATCAACCTGCTCTTCAAACTCGACTGCTGCGTCAACACCGCATCGTTGCTGGGTTTCGCGCGCCCTATCCTTGCTAAGCACCACTCTAGCTTAGCCATGGCTTTGGCCCCAGTCGACGGCTTCGCGCCCTTCGCCAACTCGCTCATCAACGACTCGACCTCCTTCAACTTTTGCTCGACCGCGTCCCGATCCTCCTCGAAACTGAAGGGGTAGTCCTGGAAGAGGTCTACCGACCCTCTCCTCTCTAACAACCTTGACGCCCGCAAAGATTTCCGCATATTGTCGACCGACCCTACCGGGGGACCCCGAGCCTCCATCTCATACGACAACTCGTCTTGCGACAACCGATTAATCTCCATGTCGTATGAATCAAGAAAGAACCAAAATGTAACGAAAACCCCAAAATATTTAAAATAAAATCAAAATTCCAAAAAATAAAGAAAACCAAAAAAATGACGACGACTTAATAGTTTAAAAACACGACCGAAAATCAAAACTCGCGAAAACAAAACTTTTAAAATCGTTTTATGTATAAAAACCAGTTATCGCTTACTACCGACCAGTTCGCACCCACTTGGTACTCTAATGCCTATACCTCACTTTACTGCTGGGTTGTAAGTCGTCCTATACTGGCACAATAAAATGACCCTATCACGCGCGACAACAGTAGAGCCTAACCACACAAAAAACAAAACAAAAATAATACGTACTGCTAAATAAAACGGCACAAGCAAATGTAAAAACAACAACCAATATGTAAAAATAAATATACGTATGTACTATGTAGGTATATGTATATATGTATACAATAGATCCCACGCAAAACAAAGTGGTGCGGCCAATGTACGTATGTATGTAAATATGTTTGCCACTAGAATATTAATTTGAAGCGCTTTTTTTCCAATATTAACTTTAGCTTCGTTTCTTTTTCCGCGCCCTAATCACTTAACACTACACTTATCTGTTCGTGCTCCAAATCTTCCGCCGACACACAATCCAAAAACAATGCTCCGTATAGCCCGACAACGCTTGCCCTCCGATACCACCGTATATGTATATGTATGTACGTATTGAGAGGAAAATAAGTTCCTTAGGTATACTCCGACCGTCCGTTACCACGCCGCCCCGAACCGCCAAAGAAAAAGGAAATCCTCTTTGTGTTCCTGCTGCCAAAAAAAAACTAAAAAGGAAAAAAAAAGATTAATATTCAAAATACCAAACCAAACTTAATACCACAAATACAAAATGCGACCCAGCCTAATGTACACTATATTTGAACGCTACTAAACAAAATAGAGAGGCAACAACCAAGCTACACACTTCACAAAATATGTACGTAGATGTGTGGGTATGGGTATACCCTTCTGGCACTGCACTTGTCACTGCAATATATCTTCCACAATTTTCTCACCTGAATTTCGTGTAATCTCACCAACCTTTGACGAAAATCCCACCTCCTTGCTATGCTTATCACCACAGTCTATCTCGCCAAAAAATTGTTCCACTCCTTCAGTGAAAAGGGCCCCACGTTGGGCGCCAATTTGTCACCTTACCTTTTGTTTACAAAAGCCGACCTACCTAATGTCCCAAATAAATGCACTTACCGTGCGCAACAACAACACAAGGGGGCCAAACGAAATAAACAAATGCACGCACAAAAGGGAGATGACAAGAAAAATTGCAAGCAACCGGCTGGCTCAGTGGAGACGGCGGGGTTGCTTGCAAGGGACAATATACACGCAATCCAAATACCCAACCAACAAAATCTAGCTAGGGACAACAACTACAAAAATACCAAACGGCACCAACTAATATATATATATATGTACGTAATAATAGGGTGGGTCGAAAATTTTAGCT